TGGAGTCTCACTCTCGTCGCCCAGGCTGGAGTTCAGTGGCACGCTCACAGCCACCACAGTCTTGACCCGCTGGGCTTAGGTGATCCTTCCACCTTGGCCTTCCAAGTAGCCGGAACTACAGAGGCACGCCATCACGCCTGGCTAGTTTTTATGATTTATTGTAGAGACGAGGTCTCACCAGGTTGCCCAGATTGGTCTCGAACCCCCGGGCTCAGGCAATCCTCTTGCCTCGGCCTCCCAAAGTGCTGGGATTACAGGATGAGCCACTGCACCCAACCTAGGTTGAACTTTTTAACGGTTTTAATTCTCCCTTGCACCTCCAAGAGCTTAGGAGACTACCTAGAACAAAGCAACCAGACTTAACTGACTTGGGCAGTGCTCAGGAGATCTCTAGAAGGAACAACGACCCTGAGGGCATCTCTAGAAAAAAAAAAAAAAGACTTGCATTTTGGGGATCGGAATACTCAGAATTAGTGGGGCATCGTTGCTAAGGGTCGGATAGCAGTTTGGCGTTTCTGGTTAAGGAAATATTGGCTATCCACCATCTATTCCACTAAATCTCACCATAATCAATTTCTACCTCTGTCTGTCTGTCTGTCTGTCTTCTCTTTTGCACACAGGCAGGGTGAAGAGTGGGAGAATTAGGATCTACTGTGAATCCATCTGCCTTGGGCCCAGCCTGTAACATGATGAGAAGAAAAACATCTGTACTTCCTCATGTGGTTCTTTTCAATGTCCATTTTGGTTAAAATGTCCTCATCACATAAAGGGGAAAAGTTCAGAGGTACACCGTAGAATATTCATCACATTGCTGGCATTCTGAGGAGAATCAGGCTAAGTGACTTCCCAGGCCGCTCCCTACCTGTCAGGGACTGAGTGCATCTCGATTGTGATTGGCCCAGTGTCAGAGCTCATTAGCATAGTGTACCCTGACCTGAAATAGGGAACAGTGTCTGCTCAGAAAATGACCAGAGCCTGCTGGGACCTGAAGCAGAGGAGAAGCTCTTAGGACATGGTCTTGTCTGCTTTTGCATAAAGAGTCCGAAGGTGAGGACAGTGGAGAGGCAAGTGCAGGGGATGTGGCCATGGCCACCCAGTCCTACAGGGTTGCATTCGTTCTAGTTCATTTTCTGTAGAAATGATGAAAATTGAATATATTTTGGCCAAGATGCTTTAAAAATAGAAATCGTGACCAATGTCGTTTTTTAATCTTCGAGGAAAACTGAGTGTACTTGTTTAAGGGCTGTAAAAAAGTCTTTTCTTCATTTCTATGCTTTGCTCTTAACTTTCAGGAAGATATTAAATTATTGCTCATTCATTTTGCAAAAGTCGACAGCAGAAAAAAAATTTAAAAAGCAACATCTTCATTTAAAAACAAGAGAATTGTGTGTATATTGTCTGGGCTTATAACAATATTTTTGGTTTTTGAAAATATGAATCTTGTTTTCCAAGGTTTTTTCAAAAATAAATCTATTAGAGTTAGTTACAACAAAATTTGAGCCATCAGGGTTACTGCTGTAACCGTTCAAAGAGGTAAGTACATAAATTGCTTCTTGATATTTTCCATCTTCTGTACTTACTATGTAAGTCCTTGGAGTTAAAGTCAATTGGTGGCATCATTTCTGCAGTTGCTCAGTGTTTATTTCCCAAGCATAGAGTTTTATTTAAAATTCATGAGATTTAGTCTTGAACATCAGTGTTCAACTGGGGAGCAGAAACTTCATGCTGTTTGAATTCGAGACCGCTAGGTTGCAGCTAAGTATGGGTATGTGGGATTTGGAGGGAAAAGACCCAAATGTTTGTTATCGAATATTCAAGAACTTCATTTCTGTGTTTAGGTCAACAGTCTTCTCGATACACACAACTTTCCTCAGTAGAGCTCAGTAATTGACAAATACAAGATTATACAAAGTTAAATAACTAAAGAATAGAGATCCTGGGTCTTACTGAAGTTTAGACTATTAATCTAACTTGTATTTTGTGTTTACTGCTGAATAGTTCTACATAACATCTTCATGTTCTGTGTTTGTCAGTGCACCAACACATGGAAATGTTGTACATGTGAACATGTTTCACTTCATATACTAGCAAGCATGTTTTATTTGCAAAATGATTCATTTTATTCGCAGGGTGGAACATTTCAAGTTTTCTTTCTTTCTTTCCTTTGTAATTCCTCTTTGACCAGTTATAGTTAACAATTAAGGCAGTGTTTCTGGTGAGGAAGAGAAATGCGGTTTAAACAAAAAAATTTTTTTTGAAGTTTAGGTTCAAGGGTCACGCATACAGGTTTGGTGCTTGGGTATATTGCATGGTGGTGAGATTTAGGCTTCTATTGGCTCCGCCTCCCAGGTGGTAATGGTACCACCCTGGCATGGTACCCAGGGTGGCTTTTCAACCCTTACTGCCCTCTTTTTTTGGAGTTGGAGTCTCACCCTGTCTTCCAGGCTAGAGTGCAGTGGCATGCTCATGGCCACTGCAGCCTGGACCTCCTGGGCTCAGGCGATCCTTCCGCCTCAGCCTTCCAAGTAGCTGGAACTACAGCTAATTTTTGTGATTTATTGTAGAGACGAGGTCTCACCAAGTTGCTCAGGCTGATCTCGAACCACTAGGCTCAGGCAATCCTCTCGCCTCGGCCTTCCAAAGTGCTGGGGTTACAGGCTTGAGCCACTGTGCCCAGCCCTTACTGCCCTCTTTAAGAGTCCCCAGTGTCTGTTGTGCCTATTTTTATGTCTCTGTATATCCAATGTTTAGCTATCACTTATAAGTGAGAACATGCAGTGTTCAATTTTCTGTTTCTGGGTTAATTCACTTAGGATGATGGCCTCCAGCTGCAGCCACATTGCTGCAAAAGGCATGATTTTCTTCTTTTTTATGGCTGCATAGTATTCCACAGTATATATGTACCACATTTTCTTTATCCAATCCACCGTTGATGGGCAACTAGGTTAGTTCCATGTCTTTGCTATTGTGAATAGTGCTGCTATAAAATATGCAAAAGATATAAAATTGTGTCTTTTTAGTGGATGATTTATACTTCTTTAGGTATACTTAGTAGTAGGATTGCTGGGTTGAACGGTAAATCTATTTTTAGTTCCTTCAGTAATTTCCAAACTGTTTTCCATAGGGGCTGGAAACATACATTCCCACCAACAGTATATGAGCGTTCCCTTTTCTCTGTAGCCTTGGCAACAACTGTTGTTTTTGACCTTTTCATAATAGCTATTCTGACTAGGATGAGATAGTATCTCATTGTGGTTTCGATTTGCATTTCTGTGGTGATTAGTGGTGTTGAGCGTTTTTTCATGTTTATTGGCTGCTTGTATGTCTTCCTTAAGATGTGTCTGTTCATGTCCTTTGTCCACTTTTTTTTGTTTGTTTGAGTTGGAGTCTCAGTCTGTCGCCCAGACTGGAATGCAGTGGCCGCTCTCGGCCACCGCAGCCTCGATCCGCTGGGCTCCGGCAATCCTTCCCCCTCAGCCTTCCATAGCTGGAACTACAGGAGTGCTCTACCACGCCCGGCTAATTTTTGATTTATTGTAGAGATGAGGTCTCGCCAAGTTGCCCAGGCGGGTCTCGCAGGCCACCGCAGCCTTGACCTGCTGGGCTCCGGCGATCCTTCCGCTTCAGCCTTCCAAGGAGCTGGAACTACAGGCGCGCACTACCACGCCTGGCTAATTTTTTTTTTTTTTTTAATTATAGAGACGAGGTCTCTCCAAGTTGCCGGGGTGGGTCTCGAACCCATGGGCTCAGGCAATCCACTGGCCTCGGCCTCCCAAAGTGCTGGGATTACAAGCTGAGCCACCGAGCCCAGCCTCAAATGGACAATTTTATACTCCCATAGACATTTGTCTGCAGAGACTTTTGGTAGCCATAACTGGGGTAAACCGAAGATTGTGGTTAGCACTTCGTGTGTAGAGACCAAGGATGCTGTCAAATATTTTACAGTGTGCAAGATAATCCCCCACAATTAGGAATTATCTAGCCCAAAGTGTCTATAGTAAGACAGTTTCAGAGGAATCTGATATATGAATATTAGTTGATGATATTTGAAGATACACAGTGGATGCAAGATTTATGTCAAGAGTTACAAGATTTATAAGCACTGATTTTTGTCTCTTTAATGGTCAATATTAATAACATTTATTTATTTATTTTTTATTTTTTTTTTTTGAGTTGGAGTCTCACTCTGTCACCCAGACTGGAGTGC